GAACCTTGAAGGTTGAGGAGAATTTGTATTTTAGGTTTTTTGCATATAACAAACGCGTCTAAAGTTGTCTGCCTTTTTCTTTTCTTTTTTTGTGTTCTAAAGTGCTTCATAATAGAATTTTCAAAGTTGTTACAAACTCTTTCCACCATTTCTTTATCAGCGTGATTATTAACAGCTGCTTCTTTAAGGAAATCCCAAGCTTGGGTTATTAATAACAAAATATTAGAAGAAATATCTTCAGATTCTTCAGATTCAACAGTTTTATTCATTTTCTCTAAAGCTTTTAAATCTTCTATAGAAAGGTCATCATGGGATTTTAGTAACACATTTATGTCATCAACTTCTACATTTAAGCCAAGAGCTACACCTATCATCACAATTTCTTTTCCAATTTCTTAAGCTTCACCTACCGCTGCATTATTTTCATAAATAATTTCAGGCATCATGTTTTTCGATGCCGATGTTAGCACCTTTAAGGATAGATCATCCCATGATTTTATAACTAATTTAACACATTTCAAGATATTAAATTTTATATTCCAAAATCCTTTAAAGGTCATAGATTCATCACCGATAGTCGAATTTTTTTAAATTGCTAATTACTTACTGATCCATCGGTTGTAGAATTGAGGTTGTGTTGGGGGAAGAAATTTTATAGCAATCCAATCAAATTCTGTATCAAGAGTAAGAGTTAGGTTAGGATCATCATGACCAGGGGCGTTATCCAATAATAATAGAGCTTTTTAGAGGAAGTTTATTTTTTATGAGATAATTCTTTACCATAGGACCAAAGCTGTTGTTTCTCCATTGGCTGAAGAGGTAACGGGTAACCCTAGCTTTCTTATTAAATTGCCAGTAAACTCCCAAACTCTCTTTATTTCCTTTTTCTGTTTTAAATACTCTAGAGTTGGCAGAGTGATAAACAAACATAGGTTTTAATTTCATATCTCCAGAAGAATGGTGCGACGTTTCCTGTGTAACATATATTCTGTTCAGTAACTTTTTCCATTACACTCCGATTTCATCGCAATTAAAAATTTGTTTTACCTATTTTTAAATCGATCAAACGAACTCTTACTAGCTTTAAAGTCATTAAAACGCATATTTTCTATATTTTCCATACTACTTCTTAAATCATTAAAAATGTTCACTTTTTTCACAAATAAATGCAACAAATCGGAACTCCCCTCTCATCTCTTTGTCTTTAATATAAATCAGTAGTAATTTTCCATTTCGTAAATCAAATCAAAGAATCCCCTTTTAATTTACTAAGTCCATATGTTTAACTCCCTTAGAATGTTTTTTAATTATTTTCTGTTTTTCTTTAACACTTTTTTTTTTTAATTTCGGCCTCATAATATCCACACAAACTATTATTTTTAAACAAATTAACAATACTAACTTCTTCTTGCTTGCTTCAATTGTAACTTACTTGAAAAACGCTTAATAGTTGAAAACTTATGAACGTAACAAGCAGCTGTTGACTACGAAGATTCACTTAAGTACATATGATTAGATGATGCTCAAAAATGTATATTTCGCAATACATATTACGCATTCTCGTAATACTCGTCGAGATACCTTCGATTTTAAACGTCTCGTAAGTCGAAATGCTCGTTAGTTAGAGCTCTCGTAAGTCGGGGGTCTACTGTACTTATATATTATACTTGTATATTACTTTATTGACATTAATGGGCGATTCATGATGATGAGGTCCAAGTTTATGTAATCGACTATTTGTAACGAATGTAATAATCTTCTTTCGGGATCTAATTCCGTATGCAGTGGTGTTTTGATCAAAGTCACATCAAACAGTGACTATCTTAAATCGATTAATTCGGGTCATCTTAAACTTAGTTCTCTGAGATGAAAGTTAAAAAAATCTGCTAGGGGTACAAATCTAAAATGGAAAACAGAAAACATAGAAGAATTAAAAAATAAATTAGACGCCTTGCACATAGCAATTGAAGCCACGAAAGATAGTCGTTTAAAAGAACTATACAAAATATTAAAAATGGAGTATATCAAAAAAATAAATCAAGCAGAGATGAATACTTATCGAAAGTATATAAACCAGAATAACAAAATTTTGGTGGCCTGGAAACTTGTCAAACAAGAAACTGGAAAATTCACGAAAACACCAGCAGAAGATTCAGCATTAAATGTCGAAGTCTTAAATCTTTTCTTCTCTCAAATCGACCAGCTGTGTTGATGCAATCAGTTTGGTCAACTCGGTAAGTTCGGCGGTGGAGTCACTAGGTGAAGTAAGAGAGCTACAGATCATAAATACAATAAAAAATCTAAAAGTAAAAAATTCCAAAGATATATACGACCTGTCCACAAAGCTAATAAAAGAAGTTGAATCAATTATTAGCAAACACCTATGTTTTGTCATAAACAAATGTCTAGAGGAGGGAGTCTATATATAAGAAAGGTGACAAAGATATGTGCAATAACTATAGACCAATATCTATTTTACCAACCATATCAAAAATATTTGTTACTATAGTAAATAAAAACATAGTAGACTATCTCAACGATAACAAATTGCTTACAGTCTGTCATCATGGGTACCAAAAACAAAGGTCTGCAATAACTGCCCTACTCAGTGTAATGGAAACTATAATCCACTGCTTTGATCAACAAAAATTCACTCAAATTGCATTCTGCGACCTAACCAAAGCCTTCGATTCGGTGAACCATTCAATACTATTAGGCAAACTACAAAAATATAGATTAAGAGAAAATGCATTGAAGTTTTTAGCATCATATTTGCAAGGAAGAAAACAATCAGTTTTTTGGCGAGGACAACAAGAAACTTGGAAAGAAATGGCAACGGGAGCTGCCCAGGGTTTGATCTTGGAACCGTTACTATTCCTCATATAAATTAATGATTTTCCAGAAAGTATCCCAACAGAGTTAATTTGTCTTTATGCGGATGACACATCTTTCGTTACAAGAAGTGGTGACATCAAGAAGCTTGAAGAAAAAACAAAACAAAACATTGAAAGGCAGAGCACTAGTGTTCCATAAACAAATTAACTTTTACACAAAACAAAATGATAAGGTAACCGATAAAACCATAAAGTTCCTTGGAGTTAACATCTCCGAAATGCTTAAATGGACCCAACACATATCCGACTTAAAAGGACCACTATCAAATGCCTTATATTGTGTTAAGACTATACTTTGCAACCTACCAGCAGAGACACTGCGTAGCGTATACTTTGCATATTTCCATCATTTTTATAACACAAAAAAAAGCAATTCGTATACTAGCTGGACTAAGAAATCATGAGAGCTGCAGAACTCACTTCAAAAAATTAAAAACACACACCTTGCCATGCTGTTCTATACTTACCTGCCATGAGTATATTCACAACAAAAAAGACTCGCTAAACAATGCAAACAATCACTATCACAACACCCGCTACAAGGAAGATATTGTAATTCCGTTTCTCAGAGTGGCAAAATCACAAAAAACTTACCACTACATAGCCGTGAAATTATATAATGTACTACCTCATGAAATGAAAAGTAAGGAAACCAAAGAATTTCGAACTTCCGCGAAGAATATGCTCCTGGAAAAGGAGTTTTATTCAGTCCAAGAATATTGTGATTGTTTATAATTTTAATCGACTCATTTTCTAAATGCAAGTTATTGTAATATCTTTTTTCACGTAATATTCTATCGTTTTTGTACTTTATTTAAATAAATATGAATATGAATGTTTTCCTCTAGCACATGTTCAGTTAAACATATCGTGCTTTATAGCGAATATATACTAGAAGATTTCCTGGACGCTCTCGAAATTGTGCTTTTTAAGCATAAACTTTATAAGATTTCCAAAAAGATCAATTTAATCAATAAATAAAAATCGCGAAACTCATAGAAAGTGAATGCGTTGTAAAAGTTTGTTGAATTACAAAATTTTGTCGATCAAAGCTTTTAATTGATCAAAATTACAAGACATACATAATTGCAATTAACTCGAAACATACGTAGAATGGGCACAACCATTCCAATTGTTTTAATATTGGACGCCGGTAGTGCTTTGGATGATATCTCTTTGCTGTTTGTCAATTACTTTAGCTTACTCTTTATATCAGCAATTATTGCCCAAATTGATGGGGAAGAAATGGTTAATTATGCCAAGTCCAATATTCCTACTAACTTATGGCGGTATGAACCAAATATCCAAAGAACTTACAAAGGTACAATCTTCGCATGCCATGAGGATGTCAAAAAAAAGTTTTCTTAGCTTATAATGAATTTCAGTAACAAATCTCCCAAGGTTGAAGTAACTGATGATGGTGCAATATTGAGTTGCATTGAGGAGCAACGGTTTTTTTTAAGGTTGAATTGAGGTTAATGTTTATATCGCGTTCACTGTTCATCATGCGGACTTTGTAACGAGAATTCGTTGTATGTTATGTTTATGTTTGCAAGGTACTGCACAGTTTTCATTTCGTACCAAAGCAAACATGCAGAAACGTATTGACAAAGCAGAAAATTCTGACATTTTTATTTCCACTATTTGTGTGTTATCTGTGTTAAAGTTGACATTAACATTCCTCATTAAGAGAAAGTGGAATGTAATCAATACATAACGACCTCTTATTCAGATTACTATCGGATTGTTTTTTTTAATTGACAAATCTTATCCTCCCCTTTGTGGTATAATTCCTGTAATGGTCTCCAAACCTCGACACGTGACATCACCACGTCCTCCGCATATTAATTTAAAACGGCATAACGCAGGTCGATCACCAAATCAAGCTACAGAGTAGAGAACGACGATGTCGACCAGCAAGTAGAGAAGGGGAGAGAATAGTAGATACGCGAACATTTAACGTACGGGAATTAAGCGCGCGCGGAGTTCGGCGTCGCGACGCGTCGTTGCGGGCGTTATCCGCCGTGGGGCGCTGCCGGCGGCGGCGTCGCCGGCGTCGGGGCTGCGCAAATCGACCCGACAGAAGTCCGGCAGCGCGGCCCTACGTATACTACATCAGTTCCAAGCCGACCATCGCGCGTCCCGGTCGCACGTTCCCGAAGGAACGCCACTGGCTTTTGAATAACAGGCAAAAGAGAGAGGGTTCCCGAAGGGAAGAGACGCCGCGCTGCGCGTGTGAACGCACCTTTAAAACGGTTTCAACCGAGAAATGAAGAGACATAACATCTAAAGTCTTGTAGTAAATTAAATTTCGCGTAGCAAAAGCAGAGTGTGAGTTAGTTTATTAGTGTTAAACTATTTTGGGGGGGCTCGAAAAGCTGTTTGAAAATTTTGCTCGTTTAAGATCCGACAAACTCCTCTGCTGAAGCTTTGGGAGGAAAACAGATCCACCGTGGCCGGTGAGTTTTCATACTATACCTTACCTACCTTAGGTGAAAGGTTGCTTTCCGCTGGAATGATTTAAAGGGAATCGGCGCCACGTGATTCTCTCTCGCACGGCGCGGCGTCGACGTCGATTTTATTCTCGCTTCCTCTATCGTCCTCGGTTCGCTAACGAATGTTTGTTTACGTTCGCATTTTGACTACGAGCAAAGCGGAAGCGCGGCGTTAAAAATCGCAATGAAATACACGCCACCCGGTTTATGTTCTACGCTATACCGTGTTTTATCAAACTTTTTTTAAAACAATTTTTTTTATTAACAAACAAACAAAAACGTCGCAATCAAAGAAAATGACGCGCTTTTAAAAACTCCCGGTGATTTCGTTTTTTACATTTTCATTATGAAGTTTTGAATTTTAATACTTTACGTTTATTACTGGTAGTCGTAAAATTGACGATAACCTTTTTATTACAAAATCAGGGTTCATCTCGTAAAATCTTTAAGTTACTTTTTTATTCTAAATTATCCCAAGTTTAATTCCATAAAAAGAAATTGTTGAATTATTTTTTTTTTTTGGTTTTCAATTGGATTTGATTTAATGCAAAACCAATTTAATATTAAGATCAAAATCAATTAATTAATTGGTAACAGCTGGAGACCCCAACGTAATGTATTGTATGTATGTATGTAAATTATATCACAAAAAAATTAAATAAAATATAATCAAAACAGAACACGTAACATCGTAAATACCGTCATCGTAGTTATATAATACCAACAAGGAATGTTTAATAGGTTCAAGATAATTTACAACTTCTTAGAAATCCTCAAACTCACGGTTATACACGTTCGCCATAATCAATCATATCTTTTTGAATATAATCTTTTAGAATACCAAATCGTACCAGCATTTCTGCTAAGCGATTCTATCGAGTTTTATAGTTCAAAATAAGACAATTTATTTTTTTATATTCACCACTACTCGTGTTGCTTCCAGTTTCAATCTTTTACTGAGATACATTTTAATAATAATTTTAAAATACGGCAATTAGTACACATTGATTACTACGAGCTAAATAGTAATCAAGAATTCATCCTTTCTTCCAGAACTAATTTCAGCTGAGTGAATTAGTTATAGACTGGGCTCTATAAAACTGCTGTCAAATGCCTTAAATTAAACTGTAAATTAAAATAACCGAAAAAATTAAAGGATTGTACCTTTCTGCCAAACTATAGAATATTTCTGCCAGAAGAATTACTTTGCTCATATCCCGTCACCTTTGTATGCTTCCATCATAACTTGTGGCATATTTGCCTTAACCGTGATTGACATCAAATAAGCATAAAACCCACAGTTTATTAACTTTATTGATTTTTGGGTCAATAAATACACTTGAATATTCAATCAATCAATTCTGATCATGAATTTATATATTTTTGCCTTAGTGTTCCGGATGAGGAGAGGAACCCGATGATCAGAACCTATAGAGATTTTGCTACATTTAACTTGAATTTTTTCACATTAGATCTTCAATCGCAGCCCCTTGACCTGGTGTATGGAGTTGATGATGTTGATGTGAAATTACAGTACTTTAATTAGCCTTACCTGTAAAGACGGTAAGGCTTAGTAAAAAATGCTTAGAGACATGATTATTCTTAGAGATGGTCTTTACAGCAGATACAATAAGTCTAAAACTAAAATGAATATAAATCTTTTAGAAAACATGTTGCACACGCAATAAAGACCAAGCGTACTATGAATCATCTTTTAAAAATAAAAGTTCCAGGGATCTTTGGAAATCACTAAGGCATCTTAATGTTACCAAATCAAAAGAGCAGGTACTTCCACAACATTTGAATGACGTTGAAGGCATTAATGATAATTTTTCGCAAGCTGCTGAAAACTCAATGATCACTGATCCAAACTTAATTCAGGCTTATACTACTACGAAAAAGTCTACCTTTAATGAATTGTTTGCTTTTGTGCCTATCTCGGAGCATATTGTAGCGGGCCATTTGTTAAATATCAAATCTGGCAGTGTGGGATATGATGAACTCTCGGTTGTGATGATACATTACTGTTGTGCTTTCATCATTCCTTACGTCACACATATTATTAATGGAATATTATTATTAATGTTGGAAGAAATGTTTAGTAACACCTTTGCCAAAGATTAAAAATCCTATGACATTTTTGGATCTGCGATCAATTAGTATTTACCTGTTTTGTCTACAGTATTGGAAAAAATTATGAATGATCAAATACGGTCAAAATAAAATATCAAATTTGTCGACAAACTTGATATTTTGCCTAGGACAAAGGCTGGATTTCGTGCTAACTACAGTTGCGATACAGCATTAAGGCATATAGTTGATGACATATTGTTTGCGGCGGATCAAAATAGGCTTCCTAGCTTAGTTCTAGATTAATTCTGCTAGATTACAGTAGGGCCTTTGATACTGTCGGAGATCTGAACGTCAGGAGTGCCACAGGGTTCTATCTTGGGGCCTCTACTGTTTTGTATCTACACTTCTAATCTTTCGACAGTTTTGAAATATTCAGAGTCACATTTTTATGTGGACAATTCACAAATCTATCTATTGCTCTTGCCTACGGATATGGCCACTGCTGAAGTTAAATTGAGTGAGGACATAAATAATCTGATAGATGTATCCACTAAACACTCGTTACGAGTAAATTCAAATAAATCAGTAGTTATGCTCTTTGGCAGGCGTGGTGCACGAGACTCTCTTGCACTAAATTTTAAAATCAATATTGGTAGTAAATGTATTGGTGTGCTAGAAATTTAGGATTACAGCTCGACTCGAATCTTAGGTTCGAAAAGCACATACTGGACAAAACAAAAATTTCATTTGCTGCTTTGAAGCTCATATATAGCATGAGGAATATTTTAAATCGCAGCACGAAGGTTATGCTTTGCGATTCCTTAGTGCTGAGCCATTTTAGCTTTTATGATACTGTATATCATAGTTGTCTGAACTCAAAAACATCATAAAGGATTCAGCGTGTTCAGAATTCATGTCTCCGAATGAGCTTCGGGCTTCGACGAGGGTGTCTCACACAGGCTGATCGATGTTGGGTGGCTGAATATGTTTAACCGTCGCATATACCATATGGTTTCATTTTATCATAAGTTACTGTTGCTTAAATGTCCATCTTATTTGTATGATATGATTACATTCCGCATTAATGTCCATAGCTTAAATGTTCGAAGCAATATTGTCACACCACTGGTACATGTTACTACATTATTTGAGAGATCATTCTCTTACAACTTACCTAAATTTTATAATAGCTTACCCCAATCATTGAAAATGTTGAGCTTGCCGTCGTTTAAATTAAGGATCAAAACATTTTTGTGATCAGATACAGGGTGGAGACGTGAAATGCGATGATTTGGTTTTGCTTTTTATGCAATTGTATTACCATCTTTAAAAATCTTTTCTTTCGTTTTATTTTTTATTGGTGCACTATTGTTATTAGTTTTATTTGTACCTCATTTAGTTTTGTTTTGTATTTTTCAATTTTTTTTTGTTATATTTTGTTTATTTTTTATGGCAGTGGAAGAGCATACGATTGTCTTAGCCAATCTGTTAAATTTATATTGTTATTCCATTCTAATAAAATCTATTATTATTATTAATAAAAAAACTCCATAACTTTTGCCACTATCAAACTACTGAAATAGTTCTGGGTAAATCTTTAGTACATAAAATGTTTTTGCCATTCTGGCAGGACTTAGAACATAGTTAACTCCAACAATATTTAGTTATTCCGCACAGAAAAATACTGTTCAGAAGATCCGCGAATAGTAAAGCGAGCATTGCTTGTAATTGTTGATTGCTAGGTTAGTCTAAATTTTTTAAAAATTACCATATCTGGACCAGTAGTTGCCCAAATTAACTCAAAGATGTGGCAACGGCATGGGAAGTACAACATTTTACAATTAAACAATTTTTCTATGTTCGGATTAGCACCAATTAATCAACCTGTGTCTAAATTATGCCTAAAAAAGTGTCTAAACGTTATTGCTCTCTTCTTAAAACCTCAATTGTTAAAATGATGCATTAAGAAATTCTTATTATTTTCATTTTTAAGTAAATTTAAGCAACCAAAAAAAAGATTTGGCTCATTTGACTTTTAATACACACATAGTACACCAAAATGGGTACCAACCCAACTTTCCGCGATCGTCAATACGTACACTTGAGTAAGAACAATCCATAATTTTGGTCTAAATCAAATAACTGAAATTGTTCCTAAAATGGATAAATCTTAACTACATAAATTGTTGTTGCCATTCTGGCATGATTTAGATCATAATTAACTCGAACAATATTTAGTAATTCTCCGTTATTGGTGAAGTGAGCATCATCAGGCACTTGATTACTAGTAATTGTTAACTGTTGGGTTTGACTAAATTTTTTAAAATCACTTATATGGACCAGAAGTTGCCCAAATTAACTTAAAGATGTGGTTAAAGATTAACTTAAAGAACTGTATCCACATTTTTTGTGGCCACGGCAAGGGAAGTATAATAAGTTACAATTAAACAATTTTTTGTTGTTGTGTCTAAAAAATGTCTAAATTTTATTGATCTTCTCTTAAAAATGTGACCTCAACTCCCAAAAGGTATGCATGAGTTATGCTAAAGTGATCATCATAGATTATACCAAAACATCCGTTCTTATTTTCTTTTATACGCAGTTTTGGATAAATTTTGTGTAAATTTCCCCATTCATCATAAAGTTTGACTAACTTATTACTGTCGTGATCAATTCATCAATTAAGAATTCGTACTTTTTGCTAAACAATAGAGACTTTTTTAATTTATGTGTACAGTACTAAATTCTGGACTCAACATTTAAGTTCAATGGACGCAAATCAGTTATCAACCTTGTTTCGATCTCGATGTGGCATATTTGGCAAAGATTCTTCAGGATCTATCAAATTAAAATCTATAACTTATCTCCTTCTTGTGTTCGCGATAAAAACT